ATGCTGTGTTGTCCTCTGAATACAAAGAACATGTTCCAGATCGTTTTGGAGTTGTTTTGCATTAGTGACAGCTCTGTGTTCTTCCCTGTAGCCTAGAGCATGTGTATTTTGAAAAAGGAATAATCTCTCTTCATGGAACAGATCAGGGTGAACTGATCTCTGGCATTTCTGCTCTCGTCAACCGGTTTTTCTGCTGTGGAAACTCTACCTTTAGAGTTGGTTAAATATTTGTAGAACCCTTTTGAATGTTTCATCATATGGATTCTCCTCTGCGAATGTATTTCGTGTCTTTGGTAATGCTTCGTACTCTCCGGTCCTTAGCGTCTAAACAGCACTGTTGCTATATCATTGTGACTTTTATTTTTATGCGTGTGCTAGTTAAACACTGAGGAAGTGCCAACACATCCAAAGCCACTGAGCGTATCATCACCCATATTAATACCAGTCGTCATTAACGAGCCCTGTTTTCCAGCCTGCAGGTCAGTATAGGCAATGACATGGCTAAAATCTTCCCGCATGGAAACAGGTTACCTGGATGTGATTGTGGTGCGTGTGTCTGTCCGTGAGATAGCACAGCTGAAGGACTGTCATCAGCTGAGCTTTATCAGAGCGTTTATGTGTATTTCCCCCCGAGTTTGATGATGGACAGTCACGGCCAAAAGAACATGCTTACATTTCATAATTTATGTGGCTTTTATGGTGCTCCATAGTTGTATCGTGTTTCCAGCTTTTACCCAGTGGTGTGTGCATCCTCTCCCGCCTTGCCAGAGGGATGTGGAGGGTAGGAACATCCCTTTCCCATCATTGTTCACCCACAAAAGTTCTCTCCCCGGAATGCAGCGAAGGATCTTGTGGACTTTCGTCTGGCCCTCTCTGTGGAAAGCTGAACCAGAGAAAAGACTGGAAATAGGGATAGATCGATGTTAACTAGTCCTTGTGTGGATTTATTGCATGACAGATAGCACGGAGGCTAATGGGCACCATGGCTGGCTTTTTATTCAGCTCGGCCGCTGCACTCGGGCGCAGAGGAATTGAAAAGCAGAGACCCGGGTGTTCGTCTGGGCCCTGTCATTACTCAGGTGCATGTTCTCATTAAGGGCTCTTGGGTGAGAGGAGCAGAAATCCAGTCAAGCTAACTCAAGTAAAAAGTGCTAAGGAAAGCATAAAGGGAGAGTGTAAGGAACCCAAAGGGAGGAAACAGAGGTGAGCCTTGTGGGGACAGGTGCAGGAAATGGTAAAGACACCACTTCTGTCTCTCTCTCTCTCTCCTTCTCCCTTTGGGACCCTGGTGTGGCCCTTCCCCTCCCCTCTGGAAGTCTGCCGTATTCTCCCGTCTGCCTCTCTGGAGTCTGTTTCTGCACAGCCTTGACCTGCACGGGGTTTGGTTTGTCCTGCCTCACCTTTGACACCCACGCCGTGTGACTTCTCTCCCGGCTCGGGCTCCCCAGTTGCTCTGTTGTTTTTCCATCACCCCAATTCCAAATTCCCAGGAGGAACAGCGGACGCCTGGCCCTGAGCAGGGGTTGTCGGCGAGGTTCGAGCCCCCGCACTCGGCCCTTCCCCTTTCTCTCTTTCTGCGCTCCGCGCCGTCGTGTGTCTGTACGATGAGCAGGCCGTGTTGATGTCAGTATCCCGTTCGGTGGTTTTTTTAACCCGGATGTGGCCGCCGCTTGCCTTCTCTCCAGGAAGCAACGCCTGTGTGTCCAGGCCGTGCAGCCTGCTCTGCCTGCCCAGGGCCAACAACAGTAAGAGCTGCCGGTGTCCGGAGGGCGTGTCCAGCACTGTCCTCCCGTCCGGGGACCTGATGTGCGACTGCCCGCAGGGCTATCAGCGGGAGAACAGCACCTGCGTCAAAGAAGGTGCGTCCCTTCTTCTTTTCTACCCTCCTTCCTCCTCCCCCCTCCCAGTGCTGTGTGTTCCCCACGTTGCTGGGTTATTGAAATTGCCGCGGGTAAGGATCAAATCCGCTAGATACATACAGACATCCCGGCTCAGGGGCCGAGGCCTGTGGTACTTCAGTCCTCAGTGGGAGTCCCCTCTTTGTCTCCTTCCGCCTCTTTATTTATTTATTTATTTATTTTCACTTATTTGGAGATAGAGAAAGAGAGAGCGAGTAGGGGAGGGGCAGAGGGAGAGAGGAGAGCGTAAGAATCCTAAGCAGGCTCCGCACTGTCAGTGCAGAGCCCGACGTGGGGCTCGGACTCACGAACCGTGAGATCATGACCTGAGCCGAAGTCAGACGCTTCACCGACTGAGCCATCCAGACTCTTCCTTTCCTCATCCACCCCTCCACATCCGGGTTCTCAACTTCTCCTGCTTCCTGGCAGTTGGACCAAACCTGGCTTGGAGAAAGGACTGGTCGGACCCCTTCACAGCTCACCTGGGCTCAGCAGCAGCTCTTTCCCA